TGTAAATTATCATTCTGAAGAGAGAATTACTTCAGACTCTATCTATACATATATATGTCTACATTGTCTATGTGTTTGATGCACAGTCCCTCCGTCTCGGATCCAATGGGATTCTTCACATGTGTTGTGTTATGAATCTACTTATTGGCAGATTTTCGAAGCTGTTAAGCTGCAGAGGTCGAGTCGATTTCGACGAAGACAAATTATCAAAGGTCGAGGCTACAAAGTTACGAAGGTTGAAGATCAAAGGTGCGAAGGTCGAAGGTGCAAATGTCAAATGTGCGAAGGTATGAAGGTAATTGAGGCTCGGATTATCAAAGTTACGAGGTCATATGTTCAGATTATCATATGATCAATATATCAAGTTCCCAATAAGCAAATTATACAATAAACGTAAAAGTAACAAAATTGTTAGAACTAGAGAACAAATCCAAATTTCCAGCCTGGACAAATCCAAATCCCGTAGCCTCAGACCTAACCGAATTAAGAAGATAACCCCTGCATCACCACATCCAGACTAAATATAACAAATTCATAACATGTTGGCCCTACTTGTTGTAACACCTCAATGAGTTGTAGCTGTATGGTCCAATACTGCTGCCCTGCCAAACTAGGTGCCGATGCCTTGATATTCTGTTGAGTGGCATCATAAATCCGCGCATTGATGTCGATCAATCGTGCGCTACCAATATTAGGCCAGGCTCATGTTGACCAACATGGGCTACAGGGACCAATTGGCTTACCAGCCGTTACAATCATGGGCAAAAGAAGGAGTGAAATAACAAGAGATTTGTGCGTATGAAATTTGCCATCTGTCTAGTTGTTAGTTGTAACATTTGCATGACTAAGTTATTGCCCTTGATGCATCAGCCCAGTTTACTTGCTTGTAAACTACTCAACTTAAACATCATGAGACAACATTTAAACTGAGGGTAATCTCTTTGACAGCATGAAAACCAACACAGTGTGTTAAGGTCGCAGCGTCAGTGATCAGTGTAAAATATCTTGCTCTACTGATTGACTCTGGAGTTACTGTGACAACGTCTATGTTCCAATGCGTCAAGGGCTACTTTGATTGTGGTGATGTCACTCGGCTGATAATTCTTTTAGAGTTAGCTTCCTCACAGCTATGACAATTTATTTTGTGACTTTTGTTACTTTCATTGCTTGCTTTAATCTAGCTTCTGGTAGATGACCTAAAAGTGCATGCCAAATATTTGTGTTTGCTGGTGAGTCTGTCAGGATGTGGCTGTTCATGGCCGAAAGATTTCCATAATTTATCTGAATACTAGCAAGCAGAATATGCAGAACTCTCTGATGTGAGTAAACTATCGCAATTATAGCATTTTCAGTGAAGAGAATTTGTTTGTTGTTGTGGTAGAATAAGCCCTTATTACGAAGCTTCTCTGTTGACAAAAGGTTTGCGCGCATATCAGGAACATAGTACACCTCACTGAATGTTACTGTACGCTTTTTATCACCTAAAACTTCTAGTTGCACAGAACCATAAGCTAATGCCTTAGCAGAGCCTTTCCCAAATTCCACACGCACATTGTAAGTCTCGTTATCAAACATATTTTCTAAATCATGAGTGAAGTGTGTCGATGCTCCGGAATCAAATATCCAGCTATGTATTGATCCGGATGACCTTAAGGCTTTAATGGCATCCTCTGAAACAACCGGCGAGGAGATCAATGATAAATTTTTTGTTAATTGCTATGGTTGCTGTGATATATCAGTGAATACTTGAGCCATGAAATTACAGTTGCTTGGGATGTCAGAAAAGAAGTTTCGATTAGGTTTAGTAGGATTGGCCTTTATTTTACCATCCTTAAACTCATCATCAGAGTATTGCTGAGAAAGTTTACATCTAATTTTGTCACACCACTTTGGCTTAAATCTTTTTGGGGCTTTCTCTGGATGGAGATGCCAACAATCCTTTTTCCTGTGTTCAAAACCACAATGACTGCATGTAGAGTCAATTTTGTTTTTCTGTAACTCTACTTTTTGAATATTCCCTTCCATTGAGTTGGGTTGGCTAGATCTGTCTTTTCGAGCAAAGTTGACTGCTTGATTGTATTTCTGAGCTTTGTCTTCATCTAAAAAATTTGATATAATATCTTCAAGCAGTGGGAAATCATAATCTTCCTTACAGCTTCTAAGCTTATTGCGAATGCCAGCGCTAAAGTTATCAAATCATGGCAAAATTATTGTAATGAATTGATAAAGTATAATAGTATTACTATTGTCAACGTTTGATTCCTTTAGTCTACTACAGGCTTGGGTATACTTGTGAGTAAAGTCCTCGAGATCCTTGCCGTCATACTGAATAGACTGCCATTCCTGATAAATTGAAAACTGATGGGCCAATCCATTTGGTTTGTATTTTGTCAGGCGCAGGTTGAATAGGCGCAAGACTCGAGGCGTAGGAGAGGGCGTAGCGTACGATGTACTGAGGAAGGACGCCTCGTGGGAACGCGGAGGGCTTTCTAGAGAAGTGGTAAATGGGAAAGCGGGGTGTTGTGGTTATGAGCTGTGAGGTATATAGCAATTATGTCTCTGCTGTCCGTCGGTGGATTTACACGGGCTCATGTGCAATGGTGAGTTGCGGAGATGGCGCGCTCACGCTGGGTGATGGCACGATGGACACTGAGTGCGTATCACTGTGGCCAAATGGGTGTCAGTAGGTATCAAATGTGAACTCTTACTGACAATGGTGATCTATGAAGGCGATGCTAGATGTGCATCCCGACAATTGATAATATCATCTAATGGATGATGTGAAGTATGATATTATATGGATAGATTGATTCACTAAACTCGGCAGGTGAAGAGATTGTAGAGTACATGAACAGCGTCTGTGCACCAGCCTGTATTTTCCACCCTTTCCTAATCCAGCAGCCCATCCTCCGTTCCCCTGTCTCCTAACAACTCAACCCAGCCAGCACAACACGGGGTGTGGTTCTAGAGAGAGGGGCTGGAGGTAACAGTAGGTCACTATGGTTGGCAGAGGACGAGAGTGAGATGTGATTAGAATAATGTAACTATTCCTAAAGACAGAAAACAAAGCGTGAAGATTTCAGTATCCGAAGGTAAAACTACATAACTATCCTCGCTAGGCAATAAGCCTAGTGGTGGGTGGGTATTCACGGATGAGGGTTGACTTGGGGTGAAGAAAAAGCCACCATAACTTTGCAGTGGTACTTGCAAATGAAACCTGAGGCATGAGTGCTCTTCCTTAACGATAAATCATCTATTCTGTACTTTTCTTTGATATTGTGTCATAGCTAGATAGCTGCATACACAATTAAAATCTGATGCAAAAAACAAAAAAAAAAGCCTAGTGGTGCTAAACAAGGAACCCATAAATCCTGCCTGAGGCATTTCTCCAGAATCCTTACATATTTTGTTTTTAAAAAAATTCCATACCTCATCTGGTTCATCAATGAACTCTACATCAAGAATTATATCTTTAGATAGTGACTGCTGGAGGATCCCTGTAGCTTTGGCTTTATCAATTGTGTACTCCTTCAGACGCTCATTGAAATCTCTTTTTGATTCGCCTTCGGGAAATTGAGGCTCGGAATATTTGCCTAGTACATATGGCCATAAGCCCTTTGTTTGAAGAACTCTTCGAATCTGGACACTCCAAATTCGATATGAACTTTGTCCCTTAAGTTGCTCTATATGTTTGGGTAAACCGTCAGCCATCGTAGCCAATGTATAGATTGAGTTGATTGTAAGATTGTTAATTTACAACAATTAATTTGTGTAATCTTTAACAAGTGCTACCTTCTCAATATTGCCCATGGGATAAATGACTTAATGATTCGACTTATGATACGCAGCCGGGCTCATAACCAGTTTCGTTATGAGAAATTGTAACGCATTTAGTCAATATGATCAATTGGGTCAGAATAAAGGCGGAACTGTATTTCATGTTATTACAAATTGATACCAAATACTACCTAATGAAAAAACTACTCAGCACTACATACATTGAGATTATATCACGTGCTCGGTTTTTCCATTCACTATTTACCCAGAACATGTTGATGCCTGATGCACGCTTAGCCCAGTTGTACAACACCTGCATAACTTTTATCAAGTGTAAATCTAACATGAAAGGGGAAAATATCATGAAGCAAATGGGGCTTGGATTGTTGCAGATAAAGTCGTCTTAGCCTATTCAAGAAATGAGTAGTGTAAAGCGTCATTCAGGGACAGCTAAAAAGAGTCATGAGGAGAATGACTAGCACAGTCTCATCAATGCGAGGAAATGGGCAACTTTCACTCATGATTAATCCAGGCTATCGAATGCCTCTATCTCTATGTGTATAATGAGCCATCGTGTAAGGGGTTTTCTCTTCACGCAATGTCATCTTTACTCACCCCTTACAATACGTTTGTTTACCCATCTCTTCTTCGAGAAGACCATATATCCATTGCTCAGTTCTTAACCAATGAGGCCTATGTGTAGCGTCTACCGCAACTAGTTTCCCATTCGTCTCTTCCTAGAGAAGACCTTTCACCCCTTGGACCCAATCATTATCTTCACTTATCACCTAGAACCTCATTAGGCCATCTAACGCACCCTCGGAATACGTGACTACCAATTCTGTACTTTTATTTTGCATTCGGTAGTAACTTGAATCAATACGCTCTTCAGCCTCAATGATATAGAGATAATTATTTCTTTCACGACAGTATCTATTTATCTCCCCTCTGAGTTTTCAACCATGGATATGCATTGTCCTGACAGTGCTTAACTGTAGGTGTTTGTCCGCGACGTCACTGTGTGTATCAATTTGTGTGGGATTAGGAGATGTACGGAGTGTGTTGCAATGTCTACTGGCCCTAGAAGAGGATAAAACGTTCTGAGAAGGTGGTTTTCTAGAAATGAATCCTTATTTTTATTTCATTCTGCAGGAGTTACCCGCAAGGCTCTATTACGATGCCGTACCTTGACCCAAATCACTAGGCCGATGTGCTGCCTGTGATTAGTTTTCTATGAATCTACATGGCTTCCAAACTTCTTTGGTTTTATGAAAGGCTCGGAAATAGGGATATTCATTGATTGGTTGAGCCAAGTAGGAAAAAGAGTCTGCACACGGAGAATTATGTTTAGTTATAGCAATGTCAAAGGAGGAGGAAACCAACATATACCGTATCTTATCGCGCTGTATCGGTGTGACAAGTATTCTTCCCCATTGGAACCTTTAGGATCTTTAGGATCCGCTGCCAAAAATCCACCATGTCCTTTACAAGATATAAGTTCTCTGAGTGTAAAACCAATAAAGTTACCGCAATCGAAGTGTGGATCTGCATAAACGGCTGGCACTAGCAGTAAAAGACCAGCCCATGCGACCGGGAATACGGCGTTGAGAAACTTCATTTGGAGAGTATCGTCTCACGGATCTTGAACTTGGACTGCAAAGAGGAGGACGCTCGATGTTACTGGGGAGGATCAATGGATAGCTGACGACAAGACGTCCAGGCATTGTCGATGGAGATGTGTTGATAATATTCGGCGCCGACGTTTCTCTGGGCGAAGCAAAAGGAGAATCGATCGAATAACTTTACGATTCAGGCTGTGGCGACAAAGATTATGAGATTATATATTGGAGGAAGTATACCTTTAGTAACCCAATTGTTACGACTTGAATTAAATCACGCTGCAATGTGCGAGTCCCATTCCATGACAAACTTTGCCCATGAGGTAATTGAGCCAAGCCGTGACTAAGAGGCTTCCATTCCCGTGGATAGTTGACTATTGCAACCTAATTTCATGATAGAAAGTGATCGATTTACCATCAGCAGGGCCATAGAATTGATCTCTCTTTTGCGGGTCGAAGATCCAGCTCCTGCTGCAGAGCCGAGATTAAGCATCATCTTCTTCAATTGCATGAGGAATCCCACACGCTCTTATCGTCCGCATCGTCTTCATCTCTCAGCAAACCGGCAAAGACAATTCTTCACCTTGCACCGGAGCCGGTGTAGTCGCGCAGTAGAATTTTATTTTATTTATGTCCCTACTGAGTCTATGACTATGAAGGACTAGTCGCGCAGTATGCTCTACATGTCTACAATATCTAAGAAAAATCGAGATTTAACGTCAATACAAGCGCATCTAAAGTCGACCATTTCCCATCAACATCTATCTTATCACTCTCCCACTAGTCTTCCGACTTGATCTTACCAATAACCGCCGTGCCTCAACGACTGACCAAGGAGCTGCTATAATTTGATACGAGAGCTTGCGCCAAAAATCATCCGCCATGTCCGACTAGAAATTACGAGGCTGTGTCTACCGTCGAGAAGGAGACCAAGCCATAATATACAGAGCTTGAGTTCTGGCTCATGGGTAACCGCTGCTCTACTGGCTCACTTCAACCCGAGGCAGTCCAGGCAGCTGAAATGTGGAACGGAAGAGATCTCTCCCGGGTCTACTCGATCTGACATTGTCGAGAGGGCTTCTGTTGTGATTAATGACATAACCACCCCTGTATCTGGTTATTGTGGATCAAAGTGATGTAGAACCTGATGGTCAAAACAGAACAGATTAGAGTCAGATAGAATTGAAGAGGATGAAATAGAATCTGATGATACAGAGCCGAATGGAACTGGGCGACTGGGGATGTGGAAAGCCATAGAATGTGGTATATGTTTATAAAAGTAATGATTCTCTAAACTTGAATGAAAGCAAGCAAGTCTACTAATTCATAACAATCTACCTCTATCTTTTAGTCTCAGTGTCAGGATTGCCTTCTCTACAGTCTGTATATGTGGAGATAGCCATGTGTTATCAATTCATGATTCTGGTGTGGCCTTTTGGCCAAGTAGTTATGCACTTGATTGATGGATAATGTAGAACGGCACCCTCTAGTATGCAGATTACTGAATGATAATATCCCCCGACCTGCCGTTTTAATGCTGCTCTGACACTCAGTGAGCGTGCAGTTATTCACGGCAAAATATTACACCCCCCATGTTCTTGCATTTATAACAGGTAAAACTGCGAATGTGTAGAGGCGCCAGGACTATTCTTACTGTCCATGAGGCGGGATGACTTTTACTTCCCATGAGCAGAAGGCACTATTTAGAACCCAAAGCACCACTACTATTTTGGGCGAAACTAATTTACACCAGGCAGACTTTATCATGACTCTTTTGATATTGTTGGAATAAAATAACAATTGTTATACTAATAAAGACTTAACAATATTACAATACACATTTCCAGTCATATATACACCATTCATAGTCCAGAGTGATCCAGCTCTGTAGAGCCAAGACTAATGTCTTCTACTCGTGTCCTAAACAGAGCGAGTGATTGGTGTGGTTACGAGCTGTGCGGGAGTCACATTGCGGAGTGATGAGGAGTGGATGATGTTATAATTTGTGTTTGACAGTGAATAGACTCATACAATACTAAGCTGTAGGTAGATGGACAGAAAGTATAAGACTAAACCTGTATCCATTTATTGTGGGTACATCTATGAAACTATGTACATGCTCGCCTAACCAATACACTAGTTGTTACGGTTTACCCGTTGTTTAATCTTAGGTCAATACCTAAGCGCATTGTTGAGGACTCTGAGGATAAGACTGTTGGGATCGAGGCAATGTCATAGCACAGTAAATATGGGCAATGCGTAGCCGTGCGGTAATTATTTGACCTAAGGAAAAGGTATAAGCAACGAGACTCATAAAGTGGATTGAATGTTATAAGTACCTTGTAGCTGTAGTTAGATTTCTCTTCTCTATAGAGTTTATTAGATCGATTTTTTCATCACCAACTCGGTTTCTATCACACTAGTGATGTCTGCTGTGGCCTTGAGCCACATGCCATGCCTTAGCCTCGACTACCTCGTTGTCTCATATCATAACAGTGATCTGTCTTCCTGCCTCTAGTTTAATACCCAAAGGCCACTATCACGTGATCTGTATCTTCCTCAACACGACGTGCCATGCAGACTTCCTGCCCAACTGGTGACCACTAACAGCAAGTTAAATATGTGACCCATACGTTATTGACCCCATAATAATATTGTATATTTAAGGTCTCAATAGTAAATAACTACTTCAATGTCAAAGTCCTTAGGCCTAAATTTTAGTATTTTAGAATAACAAATGGTATCTGCCTGTAAAGGGTTTAAAGAATTCAGAAGTACTTGAAAGACTTTAGCTCAATAGGAATTGATAATTTTTCCTTAGGAAGCTAATCTGCCTACGACGGCTCCAGTCCTTTATGTCCTCCTCAGCGTCGCGTTTAAGCTCCCCTCCTAGCCTACCTGAGAATACTCCATTCTCCCCGGCTACCCTCTTTCCTGTGACATCCTCCCCCCCTAGTACGAACTCCCTTGGGTCCTTCCTCATGCGCAACCTTGCAATTATCCTTATGCAACACTGAGACTCGTTCTTGTGCGCAACCTTGCATTAATCCTTATGCGGCACTTAGATCCCTCTTTGTGCGTATCCTTGCATTCTTCCCCATGCAACCTTTCGCGTCTCTGTAAGCGCTGCTTCGTTGGCGCTTAAAGATCTAGCCGGGTTGGTCCTAGTGACCAGTCCCAATCCGGGCACAGCCCGTAACACTGCCGCACAACACACGCGAAGGCTCAGAAAGTTAATGTCTCACGTTGAATTTATCAAAAAGCTTCTCGGGCCCAAGTGCCACAATAGCTTCAAAAACTTTGCGCAGGAAACCGGATATTTTGATAGACGACCTGCTCATTCATCCACTGCTCTCAGCGGGGATCAGATAAACTAGTCAGTGCCACAACGCATAACACAAAATGGAACGAGGCGAGAAGTGTTGTTTTTCTGAGGAAAGATCGTAGCTATTTAGAGCTAGGGGAAAATTAGTGGTTTTTGATCTAGGAGTTGGAGTGGGTTTTGTTTTGTTTTGTTGATTAACGTGGTAGGTTACATGGCTACTGTTGCACTCCTATTGGAGCTTAAGCACGTGTGGGGTTGGGCCAGATCAGGTTAACTACCGTGAAGTACAGATAAACCTCGTCCCACTTTAATGACCGGACCACCTCAGACTTCACCTATGTGTTGAATCATACCAAGCCTAACCGTCCAGAAACCCGCTGTATACACGCCTAGCGCGGAGGACAAGATTGAATACCTGTACGTGGTGTCCTCTACAAACCTGGGAGTGAAATATTCTCCCAGAGCCAAGTTCAGTCAAATTTTGCAATATCAAAGAAGTTGGCCCACAAGGCAAAAATTCAAATTACTCCACCATGTCAATCTTTCACTCTCAAAGAGTCCAATTCTTAACTAAGCTTCATCAAGTCTACAAGTACGACCTAGTACATCCTCGCTTCAATGACCACACCTCTCGTCGACTTTCTCTGGCCTCAGCCGGTCACCAAATACACGCTCACGCCGATATTTATACCCGACAGAGGAAGCAAAGCGTGGAGCACAAATCTGGGAGATAGCTCTTCGGGATGGACGTGAGAGGGATCAGGACAAGTTTACAAGATGATGCAGAAGAGGAATACGTTTTCGACGGGCTTGAAATTTCGAATTTTGGCAAGAGTTTTACGAATTGAGCTTTGTGCGCGCCAAGACTTCGCTTGCGAGAGTGCAGCTCACACTATAAAAACAAGCCAACAATGAAAGGTGTTGTGGTCCGCCTCCTGGTGGTGTTCTCCGGTATAGTTTGAGTAGACTGGGCACCTACTCCACTTGGGAAGGAGACACCTCAGATTACATTTCGCGCAGAGAAATGTTAACGGATGATGGAGGCATGTCTGGATAAGTCAGGGTTTTTGAGATGTTCCCCTGGGTGGGTATTCACGGACGAGGGTTGACTTTGGGTGAAGAAAAAGCCACCATAACTTTGCAGTGGTACTTGCAAATGAAGTCTGAGGCATGAGTGCTCCTCTTGTAAATTGAGTCATCTGTTCTATACTTTTCTTTGATATTGTGTCATAGCTAGAAAGCTGCATACGCAATTAAAATCTGATGCAAAAAAAAAAAAAAACAAAACACGCCTAGCGCGATTTCCTCCTCAGCCTCGGCCACCACGCGCCCGAGCCCTTGACATCCTCATTGACTCCGAAATATAAATGCCCTCCAAGATCTCGTTGTTGCTCTAGCCTTGCACCTTCATATCTTAACATTGGGTTGTTTTGTTGAGATGAAATAATTATTGATCTATTAATTAGAGTAAAATTGCATAAGGAAAACTATAACGAACTATTACTATCTTATATACATAATTAGCAGTCCACGAGTGATCTAGTTCTTCAACGACGGTGCAAGTGTCCTCTACTGGTACCCTGGTAGAAGTGAGTGATCTGTCTTCCTGCCTCCCGTTTAATGGCGGAAGGTCAGCATCATGTGACTGACATCTCTTTCAACCTAACACCACAC